TATATTGATTTAGAATTTAGCGTATTTCTATAAATCTACAAGAAGCAGCTGAGAAATCAAAATAGCAAATTGAAGTTAAAATTATAAGTAATCAAGTTAGTTGATAATGATAGTTGCATCATCATTAATTGTTTGTATAATTTAATAAAAAAAAATGAAACAATTTTGATATTTGATGTGAAAAACATTGATTTAGAATTTAGTGTATTTCTCTAAATCTACAAGAAGCAGCTGAGAAATCGAAAGAGCAAATTGAAGCTAAAATTATAGTTAATCAAGAGATTGGATAATTATAGTTGCATCATCTTTAGTTTTTTTTTTATATAACTTAATAAAAAATTATATTTTTTTAAAATGTGAAAAGTTAGAAATTGTAACATTTTTAGTTTTTTTTTTCTGTTTAGTTTCTATTCAATATAAAATTTGAAATTAAGGTTTGTTTTCAGTGAAATTACCAATTTTTAATTTTGTGTATTTCTTGTAATCTATAAGGAGCAGGTAAAATTCTAAATATCTAAATTATAGAGAAAAGTGTAGAAAATTGAATTATTACAAAAATTTAGATTGATTATTATCGATTCTTATGATATTTCATTTTAATTCGAATACTATTAACATTTAATTTTACAATTTACTAAAATTTCTCAATTTTTATAAGAGCAGATCTGTAAACTTGCACGTTTTTACAATAATAAAAATGTTACGTTAAGTTAAGTTAAGAAAAGTGCACGCCAACGCGCCTCACATTTAATTGGAATCATTTTTGTGTGGATGTGCGTGAACTTTGTATAACGGTAATTAACGAAATCCATCCGGACGTGAAATTTATTCGGTGCGAAAAGTGTGAATGCCAAATCAGAATTTCAGCGTCAATTAATTAACGAATCTCTCCTGTCCTCTCCTGTCCCTCTCATTTTCAGCACACCTTTCACGCGCATCATCATTATATTATACAAACAGATACAAAAAAAAATATAATAATATATATAACAACTCATCCCTTGTTATTCTTCTAATTGTATAGCAAAAAGAAAAAATCTTCTTTACTTAAAAAATTAAAAAAAAAATCGTAACAAAACAATTATAGGAAATGAAAACTTTTAAATTGTTTTGTAAAAAATAAATGTAAATTTTCATCATTTCATTAATCAATAATAACATTTAAAATTTTATAAACTAAGGTAATTCTTAATTAATAACGTTACAAATTGTAGAAATTTAACGATTGATAATAAGATTTTGTTAATTAATATCGCAATACCTAAGATTAATTATAAGTCTTTTGTTTTTCGTAACGTTTGGAGAGACATGTACTTTGTGTTGCATAACTCAATTACGTACGGCTGAGGAGAAGAAAAAGCGAATAGATGCCATTGAAACTGCGCACTTAATTACATGAAGAATATGAAACTGAACTAGATTATAGTAGAGAGAGAGCAGTCACTTAATATTATCTAAATTGCGAGGAGGGAGCGAACCTTTTGTTCGTGGTTTTTGCCTCACTTTGAAAGCCTTTTTCATCTTGCCTCGAAGCTCTTACTCAAACACCAAAAAAAACGATTATTTCCTTCTTAAGATTGAAAAGTCATTGGAAGCTTTAATTGCGTTAAAGAGGATTGCGTTGTTTCTTTTTTTTTCTTGCTAAGGTCACTGAGATTATTATGGAATGTTTTGGCTTAATGCGTATGGAAGGGTGGCGTACTCTCCCCCAAAGGCAGTAAAAACATCAGGGCGTTGAATGTAGCAACCACATGCACCATTAGTATAGAAATTGAGTTAAAAGCCGATCGGTTGTAATACTCTGTTCGCACGCTGAGGACCTACATGCATGTGTATTTTTACTCACCCAACTGGGTTCAACTCAGGCGACGACAAAAATAAAATAAAAAGTGTTATGTAAAAATAAAATAGGGAGGAAAAACGTTGCACGTTGAGGGTTGAAAATGCAGAAGAAGGCAATCTCTTCGCATTCATACAAATTCAGATTGCTCTCTGCATATTTTCAGATGCTTTGATGTGATTCTATTTCAAAGGATGCATTAATTTCTTGATTTTTTTTCTGTTTTGAATTGATTTTCTTCAATTATTTCATATTTAAACAGCTTATTTCTTGCACTAAAAACTGTTTTATAAGTGCGTTTCAATTGAACCATCTTTATAAACTTTTTAAGCTATAAAAGCGATTCAAATACTTTAATAAATATATTTCTTGGAAAATATATTTCATGTAAATGCTTGGGCAAAACAAATATTTGCCTTTTTTCCTATCATGCGGATTTCTTCGCGTAGCCCAAGTGATGACTTAATATTCTACCAACATTACATCACTAATCTTGCATTTTCTCCTATCCGTTTTTACCGATCTTCTTGAAATTTTCTTATAGTTTTCTTAATATCTTAATTTTCCATTTGGATACAAGACTTTTCTTCTTCAAATACTTTAATAAATATATTTATTGGAAAATGCATCATATTGAAAATTTACTAATATAAATTGAAAAACCAACTCATCTCACAGTTGTTTCACATTGAAATTTTTTTACAGTTTTCTTACAATTTTTTTTCTCTGAAATATGTGTGTAAAGTTTTATTATATTAGTAACATGCATTTTTTTTTGTTTAAATTAATAATTTCGCACTGGACGACATCCATTTGCATATCAAAGTGAGCTGTGAGTAAATTCAATTAAAACTAATTTCAGCTTCAACTCGATTAGTTTTTTTTATATAGAGCATACATTTTTATTAAACTAATTTAGTTGTAATAATTAGATTTATTATATTTTATTATAACTTTTATTTAAATTGAAACTAGATACGTGAATTATTTTATAAATGAATTAAAAAATTTCATAATTTTTCAAATTAATTTCATTTTTATCGCATTAGTTCCAATTTATTTTACATTTTTTCAAGTTAATTCCAATTCTTTCTAATTAATTCAAAATGAACTAAAGTTTTAAATTAACTTTACATTATTTAAATTAACTCAAAAAAATCAAATTAATTAAAAAAACCTTGCAAAATAATTCTAAATTTTTCTAATTATTTCCAAATTAATCATTTTTTTGCAGTGTTGGTGGTTGAATTTATACCAACATTATATCACTACTCTTGCATTTTCTCCTATCCGTTTTTACCGATCTTCTTGAAATTTGACATGAAATATCGTTAGACTTTAACAAATTGAGAAACAACTTTTGTTTTTTCAGAAACAAAAGTATTAACGCCAACTAAGCGAACTTTTGTTACATCTCATAATTTTGTTACAAAACAATTTCCATATAGTTTCCTTAGATTAAAAAGCGTACTTAATATCTAAATTTTCCATTTAAATACAAGACTTTTGTTCTTCAAATACTTTAATAAATATATTTCTTGGAAAATGCATCATATTGAAAATTTACTAGTATAAATTGAAAAACCAACTCATCTCACAGTTGTTTCACATTGAAATTTTCATACAGTTTTCTTAAGTTAAAAAGCTTACTTAATATGTAAATTTTCTTCAATTATATTAAAAAAATTTCATCTTAATTATTTCATTTGCAAATTATATGAAAATGATCGCTTTGGTCCAAATTATGAACAAAAACAATTTGGAAATAAAATATATTTAAAAAGCGTATTCAATATTTAAATTTTCCATTTAGATACAAGACTTTTGTTCTTCAAATACTTTAACAAATATATTTCTTGGAAAATGCATTACATTGAAAATTCACTAGTATAAATTGAAAAACCAACTCATCTCACAGTTGTTTCACATTGAAATTTTCATACAGTTTTCTTAAGTTAAAAAGCTTACTTAATATGTAAATTTTCTTCAATTATATTAAAAAAATTTCATCTTAATTATTTCATTTGCAAATTATATGAAAATGATCGCTTTGGTCCAAATTATGAACAAAAACAATTTGGAAATAAAATATATTTAAAAAGCGTATTCAATATCTAAATTTTCCATTTAGATGCAAGACTTTTGTTCTTCAAATACTTTAATAAATATATTTCTTGGAAAATGCATCATATTGAAAATTCACTAGTATAAATTGAAAAACCAACTCATCTCACAGTTGTTTCACATTAAAATTTTCATACAGTTTTCTTAAGTTAAAAAGCTAACTTAATATGTAAATTTTCTTCAATTATACTAAAAAAAATTTCATCTTAATTATTTCATTTGCAAATTATATGAAAATAATTGCTTTGGTCCAAATTATGAACAAAAACAATTTGTAAATAAAATATATTTAAATTCAAGAAGATTTTACTTGTTTTACTGCAATTGTAATTTATAAATTATTATAGATTTTTCATCTACTTTTTTATATCTGCAAGTGAATAATGTCTTTACTAATGTTAATCAAGTCTTTAGATTGTAGTTTTTATCAAAATGATTGCTAAATTTCTATTCATTCTATATACAATTACATGTAATTAATTAGTTTCGTAACTAAATATAAACTTAATTAACAAAATTTATGAAAAAAAACTTTATCGAAAATGTACGCAATTATTCATCGAACAAACGGCTTTAAAAATTAATAAGATGGGATTTACGTGTAGTGAAGTAGTGCGGCGAACAATCATCGTTCTGTTTGACATCAAACAGTCTTCGCATTATAAACTACCTTTGCCTCCAACTTGAATGTTTTAATCCTGCGTTTATTAACAAAAAAAAGCTGTTTAACAGTGGCAAACATCCAACAATAAACAGGGGATGAAAATTAATCTTGATTATGCAGGACGATGGAGGCAATTACCGAATAAAGATGTTGCCCGAAAACATCTCCATAATTTTTCGCAAATATTTAACTTAATCCTACAATAATTTTATGCGTCGCTGCATTCCAATCTTCTCTGTTTACATAAAATCACATTCAAGTGAATCTGTAAGAAAAGATGGAAAGAGAATTCGATTTCTATTATCTCCTTTTTATGATACAGAAAACCAATACGTTTTTTATAGTAATGTTGTTATTACGTCTTTGCTTTAGATGATCGTCCCGAAGAAGAGAGCTGCTTTGCTGATAGACCGACTGATGGTGGCGCTGCAGAAGGCGATTGAGGAAGAGGAAACATCCAGATCCAAAGGATATTCCGCACGGTCAGAAGATGCGGTACGAACGGTACTACCAATTCATTTCTTTTTATTTTCTCTATATCATTATTTGCACACTCACTCTTCACACTGCATTTACTTTCTGAACAATACAATACACCACCTCATTAGTTCTAACTGGCTACTTAACCCATATCTTTTCGAGTTACAAATTTAGAAAGTACATAGTTGCAAATGGGATAAGATCACGCCTTCCGAGCTAGTAAAAACCGTCGACACAAAGCAACAGTTAAATTGGACGGATAATCAAATTGAATGTTAAAATAAACTTTACGTTTGATCGACCTAATTTTCTACTCGCATACGATTTGAGACGATATTAAAGCAACCTGTTAAATTTTATAGTGATTAGTTTATTGCAAATTACAAAAAACCTTTTGAATCAAATTATTTTTTAAATAAAATATGATTTGAACTTGTTACTTCAGTTTAAAATCAATGTAAAAAATGCATTTTTCCTATTTTTTTTCTCTGAAATATGTGTGTAAAGTTTTATTATATTAGTAACATGCATTTTTTTTGTGTTTAAATTAATATTTTCGCACTGGACGACATCCATTTGCATATCAAAGTGAGCTGTGAGTAAATTCAATTAAAACTAATTGCAGCTTCAACTCGATTAGTTTTTTTTTTTATAAAGAGCATACATTTTTATTAAACTAATTTAGTCGTATTAATTAGATTTATTAGATTTTATTATAACTTTTATTTAAATTGGAACTAGTTACGTGAATTATTTTGTAAATGAATTAAAAAATTTCATATTTTTTTAAATTAATTTAATTTTTATCAAATTAGTTCTAATTTATTTTACATTTTTTTCAAATTCTTTCTAATTAATTCAAAATTAATTATGGTTTTAAATTAACTGTACATTTTTTTAAATTAACTAAAAAAAATTAAATTAATTAAAAACCTTGCAAAATAATTTGACAATTTAATTCCAAATTATTACAATTATTAACAAAATTCACGAATGAATTCCATTAATTACTAAAATTATTTGAAATTTTGTGTACTTGTTCAATTTTTTTTTTCAATTATTTACATATTTCTAAAATTATTCCTAATTTTTTCAATTTAATTCAACATTTCCCATTTTTTTTTCATAATCATACAAAATTTCTCAAAATAAATCCAAATTTCTTAAAATATTCCCATTTTTTTTTTTTTTTTTTTTTTATTTATATACAATTTTTACAATATTTTTCATAATTTAATTCCAAATTATTACAATTATTACCAAATTTCACCAATTACTTCCATTAAATACTCAAATAATTTGAAAATTTTCATATTCATTCAAAATTTTTCCAATTATTTACAAATTTCTCAAATTACTTCTAAATTTCTCAAATTAATTCTACATTTTCCATTTTTTTACATTATAATTTAAAATTTCCCAAATTAATTCCAAATTTCTCAATTTCATTTCATCAATTTTACGAATTAATTCCATTAATTACTCAAAAAAATTAAAAAAAATTCATATTCATTCAAAAATTTTCCAATTATTTTCAAATTTCTGAAATTAATTCCAAATTTATCAAAAGATTCCCAAATTTACAATTATTACCAAATATTACGAATTCAGTCCATTAATTACTCAAAAATTTTCAAATTATTTCTAAATTTCTCAAATTAATTCTACATTTCCCAGTTATTATTAATTTCCCAGTTATTCAATTATTACCAAATTTTACAAAATTAATTTAATTAATTAAAAATAAGTCCAAATTTCTCAGTTATTACAATTAATTCCATTAATTACTCAAAAAAATCAAAATTTTTCATATTCATTCAAAATTTTTGCCAATTATTTACAATTTTCTTAAATTATTTCTAAATTTTTCAAATTAATTCTACATTTCCATTTTTTTTCATAATCATTCAAAATTTCTTCAATCATTTCCAAATTTCTCAAATTAACTTTACATTTCTCAAATCTATTCTTTCTTTATCCAAACTAAATCAAAATCTTCAAATTAATAATTTCAAAACTCATTGCATTCCATTAATTACTCAAATTATTTGAAAATTTTTCATACTTGTTCAAAACTTTTTTAATTATTTACAAACTTCTCAAATTAGTTCTAAATTTCTCAAATTAACTTTACATTTCTCAAATCAATTCCATTTTCTTATCAAAACTAAATCAAAATCCTTAAATTAATAATTTCAAAACTCAAATTTATCAACAATATTATACATTTAAAAACCTTATAAAATAATTCCTCGTTGCGATAAGCAACAATATAAATAAATTCCATACAAAGTATCCATAATTATCAGAAGAATGTAAATTGCATGTAAATTTCGCAATGGATTTTATAGTACAAGTTAGTGCCTTTACTGAAATTAATAATTTCAACGTAATACCACTTGCTATGCTAATGAAGTCTTCGGATGGTATAAAATTGAGCGTCTTATGCAGCCGATGATTGTTATTACAGCAACGTCTACGCACTCGCAGCCGCCTGCAGCGGATTACGATGAAGGGGAAAACGAAAATTTGCATATCAAGAAAAAAAAAAGAAAAGTTAAATTACATTCGATTTCCAATTAATTCTTAAATCGATACTTTGCATCGTTAAAAGAGTTCATAACTTATACAATAATTAAGTAATTAAGTTTGTTTACAATATATTCAATATTGCTATAATATTATAACATTTTATCAGTAAAAATTGCAATTAAAATTTGTATAATTAACGTTGGTTTTAGAAAATTGCGGATATTGTGGAAGTTTGTAATACGACAAGAAAATGAACATAAAAATAATCTACATAGTTATTATGTGAATGTAATAATAGTGTTTGAATTCTTGAGGGAAACAATGGTAATGGTATGTGCTTTAGAAAATTGAATAATCAAAGTTATTGAATGCAAATTAAGCGTCGGCGCTCTATAATCTCGCAGAATTAGCGTGTCTTTAAAACAATGGTCCCTGCATTTTCAAGTATATTTAAGGAAGTCGCGAGTTGAGAGGTCTCTTTGTGTCTTGTGTATGTGAGTAAATCATTTGAAATGAAGGGAATAATAGTGCTTATGGTAATCTGCTGTCTCCTATTAGTGTTTGAGGCTCAAGAGACGTTATGCGACACGGAGAGACACAACGTAAGTGCATTTATTACGAGAAGCGTTCGCGAGGTATCAAAAGACATCTTTTTCATATATTATTGTTGCGAACGAACAGGGTACGTCGTATCTCGAGGAAGACATGCGGCACATGTGGGAGAGCTTCAAGACTCGCGTGGGCGACGCGATGAAGGATCTTAAGGAGAGGATAAACGAACATATACAACATTAATAAAGCCTTCTACATTAATCTTGACTTTATCACTACTCGCATGCGAGAGGATATCATTCAATGTAATTACGTTAATTAATTAAACAATTATAAATCTTTAATTGAGAACTGTACTAATTGACAAGTCGTAACAATTGTAATTACTTATTTTTTTTCTCCTCAAATTCGCTTTTCAGGTGGACACGACTGTTTCAGTTTTATGAATTCCACACATCCACGAATTCAAATTAAACGAGTTTTCGAACTTTAATTGCAAACATTTTTTTTTTGATTGATTGGGTTTAAGTGTTTAATTAACTTCCATCGACATTCGGGGATTTCTCTCTTCTCGTTTTTTTTTTGTACTGCTGTTGAAACCAATTGTTGAGTGAATTCGCACAGTTCATCGATCCTTCCACGTCCGGATGCGAAACACGTGCCGCATTTCCCATGTCAATTGTTTTTTTTTTTATTGATGTACTTGATGTACTTCCCATCAAGATGGCTTATCTCACTTGCACTAATCCTCGTCTTATCGTCTCCTAACTGAATGACTTTCAGCATATATTTTTTGTTCATAGTTAGTTGTATTTAAATCTGCATTCTAATTACAGAACAACTTTTGATCAACATTTTCATAGATTACTAAATTTGTATACATTATACATTTATTTCATTTATTTATTGTAGTTTTCTCAAATTAAGTCCAAATTATTTCCGAATCTTTCCAATTTTTTTCCAAAATTCTCAATTTAATTCCACATTATTATTAAATTAATATTACATTATTCAAATTATTTCAAAATTTTACATATTTCTCAAATCAATTCCCATTTTTTCCCAACTAAATAAAAATCTTCATTAAAAGTTTTCAAATCTCAAATTTCATCGTTTCTTGAATACAAAACATACAACATTGATCATTTTTTTTTATAGATTACTAAATTTCTATACATAATTCATTTAGTTTAATAAAAAAATATTAATATTTGTTTGTTTGTCATAAACGAAATGTCAATATTTTGCAATTTTGCACTTTTGATTAACATTTTTATAGCTTACTAAATTTGTATACATTATATATTTATTTCATTTATTTACTGCAATTTTCTCAAATTAATTCCAAATTTTTCAAATTATTTCCAAATTTATCAAATTATTTCCGAATCTCTTAAATATTCCCAAATTTCTCAAGTTAATTCCAAATTATTAAAATTATTACCAAATTTCACAAATTAATCCAATTTCACAGCTAACTAAATTTGTATACATTATACATTTATTTCATTTGTTTACTGCGAATTTCTCTAATTAATTCCAAATTTCTCAAATTAATTCTCAAAATAATAAATTTTTCAATATATTCCCAAATTTATCAATTTTTTACCAAATTTTTCAAGTTTAATCGAATTTATTACCAAATTTCACAAATTAATTCAATTTTTTTAGATTAATTATATCTACATTTCCCAAATTTGTTCATAATCATTCAAAATTTCTCCAATTATTTACAAATTTCTCAAATTACGTCTTTATATTAATACCAATTTTCTCAAATTTCATCGTTTCTTGAAAACTAAACACACAACTTTGATCTTTTTTTTTATAGATTACTAAATTTGTATACATAAGTAATTGTATTTAGTAATTAAATATGCATTCTAATTATAAAACACTTTTGATCAACATTTTTCATATATTAGATTATTTACTGCAAT